CATTCTCTCCGGACATCAGCTTCGCCGCGTAGGTCTCTCCCGTTAAAAATGTTGCGTGTTCTATGCTGCTCGTTTCCCACGCCTGCCGTATACCAGCCCGGGTGACAATTACACTATCGGGGCTCATGCTAGCAATGAGTTTCGCAACGTCCACCGCCTCCTTAATGAGGTCATCAATGGGCACAATCTTCTGGACAAGGCCCCATTGCAGAGCTTCCTGCGCGGTCAAGGTATGCGCGGTCAGCCCGAGCCACATGGCTCTTTGCAGTCCAAATATCCTACATAGTCGTGAAAAGGCGCCAGCCATAGCTGCTGTTCCCCGTAAAACATCCGGAAGTCGGAAATCCGCATTTTCCGACGCGATCACGATGTCGCTGTTGAGAACGATTTCAAAACCGCCGCCATGCGCATGCCCGTTGCAAGCTGCTATTATTGGCTTTCTGCCATTTCGCCGAGTGAGCCCGGCAAACCCGGTGGAGGGATATGCGTTTAGCCGTGCGGCAGAATCAAAATCAGACGTTGACAATGATTGACGCTCTGTCACCCTTGCGGGCATACCGATAAGCCTGGATACTCTTTCGCTAGGGTGGATAGGACGCAACGTAAGGTATGAGGCGAATTAGAGCAGATTTTCAAATACCTTTCAGATCCATTCCGGCAGAGAAAGCCTTTTTACCAGCCCCGGTGACAATCCCCACGCGCCTATTACGGAGGAGAGGTTTAATATAGCATACCAAGCAGAAAGCAGCAACCCATACTTAGTTTAGTATGCAGAGAATTGGTATCTTGTGTGTTGCTCCAGGGAAAACTACCAACTCACAGCTCAGGCTCGTCGTCGAACCATTTCCATACTCGATGCATTTCCCATACCGCGTCAATCGGCAGAGAGTTCATCTGCTTTTCGAAATTGATTGTAACAAGTAGGACATGGGGGGCAGGAAATTGCAGGAGGACAAACTTCACTGCAGGGGGGGGTGATGTCGTTGCTGCATGCCCAGACATGGTGTTGTTTTACTTTGAGGGAAGACTTAAATTTGACACGTCGTTTTACTGTCTCGATAGAACCCTCAATTCGAGGGGTATTATTCGCAGTTGTCCGGGTAGCATATTGACTGCGGTCACCAGCACGTTCGGCTTCGGCTTCAGGATGCTGAAGCTGGTTGCAATCGTGCTGTCAGCGTCGTTCGTTGGTTCGGCTAATTCGCTA